TAGTAGTAGTAATAGTAGTCGTAGTAGTCGTAGTAGTAGTAGGAGTAGTAGTAGTAGTAGAAGTAGTAGTAGTAGTAGTAGTAGTAGTAGTAGTTGTGGTCGTAGTAGCAGTAGTAGTAGTAGTAGTAGTAGTAGTAGTAGTATTAGTAGTAATAATCGTAGTAGTAGCGAACAAGGTAACACTTGTAGTAGCAGTAATAGTGATAGTAGTAGTAGTAGTAGTAGTAGAAGTAGTAGTAGTAGTAGTAGTAGTAGTAGTAGTAGTAGTAGTAATAGTAGTTGTAGTCGAAGTACTACTAGTAGTAGTAGTAGTAGTAGTAGTAGTTATAGTAGTGGTGGTAGTAGTAGTACAAATGGTAGTAGTAGTAGTATTCGTAGTAGTCGTAGTAGTAGTAGTAGTAGTAGTAGTAGTAGTAGCGGTGGTTGTAGTAGTAGTCGTAGTAGAAGTAGTCGTAGTCGTAGTCGTAGTTGTAGTAGTCTTTATCGTGATAATGGTAGTAGTGGTAGTCGTAGTAGCAATAGTAGTAGTAACAGTAGTAGTAGTAGTAGTAGTAGTAGTAGTAGTAGTAGTAGTAGTAGTAGTAGTGGTAGTAGTAGTAGTAGTCGTACACGTGGTCGTAGTTGTAATCGTAGTCGTAGTAGTAGTCGTAGTAGTAGTAGTAGTAGTAGTAGTAGTAGTAGTAGTAGTAGTAGTAGTAGTGGTGATAGTAGTAGTCGTAGTAGTAGTAGTAGTAATCGTAGTAGTAGTAGTAGTAGTAGTAGTAGTAGTAGTAGTAGTAGTAGTCGTAGTAGTAGTAGTAGTAGTCGTCGTAGTCGTAGTAGTAGTAGTAGTAGTAGTAGTAGTAGTAGTAGTAGTAGTAGTCAGTAGTAGTAGTAGTATAGTAGTAGTCGTAGTAGCCGTAGCAAAGGTCGTAACAGTAAGTAGTAGTAGTAGTGGTAGTAGTAGTAGTAAGTAGTACAGTATTACTAGTAGTAAGTAGTAGTAGTAGTATAGTAGTAGTAGTAAGTAGTAGTAGTAGGTAGTTGTATAAAGTAGTAGTATTACCCGTAATAAGTAGTGAATATGGTAGTAATAGTAATAGAAGTAGTAAGTAGTAGTAAGTGAGTAGTAGTAGTCGTGGTAGTAGTAGTAGTAGAGTAAGTAGTAGTAAGTAGTAAGTAGTAGTCGTAGTATCCGTAGTCGTAGTCGTAAGTAAGTAATAGTAGTAGTAGTAAGTGTAGTAGTAGTAGTAGTAAGTAGTAGTAGTAGTAAAGTAGTAGTAGTAGTAGTATCGTAGTAGTAGTAGTAGTAGTAGTAGTAGTAGTAGTAGTAGTAGTAGTAGTAGTAGTAGTAGTAGTAGTAGTAGTAGTAGTAGTAGTAGTAGTAGTAGTAGTAGTAGTAGTAGTAGTAGTAGTAGTAGTAGTAGTAGTAGTAGTAGTAGTGGTGGTGGTGGTGGTGGTGGTGGTGGTGGTGGTGGTGGTGGTAGCCGCAGTAGAAGTAGTCGTAATCGTAGGCGTGGTTGTAATAGCCTTAGTCGTAATAATGATGATAGTGGGGGGGCTGAGGGGGCGGGGGGGCGTCCAGCAGGCGGGGCCGAGGCTGCCGGCCCCGAGCTCGGAGGACTGGCCCCCGCAAAATGCTCGAGACCACCGCTGCGGAGACGGTGGTAAACAGATGTCCACGATGCTGGAAATGGACAGAGAGATGACGATGATGGTGGTGATGATGCTGATGATGGGGAGGGTGAGGATGACGATGAACGACTGCCCGCATCAATTGGGACGGGACTCCGACCGCATCAATGGGGACACGGCTGATGATGATGATGATGATGATGATGATGATGATGATGATGATGATGATGATGATGATGCCCCCAAGAGGGGCCCCAAGAGTGGCTCCAAGAAGTCCACAAGAGGGGGCCCAGGAGGGCTCCAAGAAGGCCCCAAGAGGGCCCTAGGAGTGGCCCAGAGAGACCCCAAGAAGGCCCCCAAAGCGGCCCCCTTCCGAACAAGAACATATTGTTGGGTTGTTCGGCCCGCCCCCTTCCGAAAAATAACATATGTTTCGGTTGCTTGCCCCTCTTACGGCCGTTTCGGGCTCTTCTAGGGCCCCCTGTAGGACGCCACTCCACTGGGCCCACCAGCACCCCTCAAAAATGGCTACAGTTTCGCAGATCGCCCCCCACCCCCCCAAGGGATGGCGAGGCCCTGCAACGAGAACCCTAGAGGCCCCCAGGTGGCAAGTTCGAAGGATAACCTTCGGTATCGCATAGAATGGAGACCAACAAAAAGGAATCCCTAGGAATTTCTAAGGATTCCTCAGGATTCCTGAGGATTGGTTTGGATTCCGAAGGGTGCCTGGGCTTCCGAAGAATCCGAAGGAATCCTGAGGAATTCCAAAGGATCCGAAGGAATCCGGAGGGATTCCGAAGAATCCGAAGGAATCCGGAGGAATTCCGAAGAAATTCCGAAGAATCAGAAGGACGGCTGAGGAATTCCGAAGAATCCGAAGGAGTCC